TTTAACCTTAAACTGTCTACTGTCGACCTCACCCCATTCCTAAGAGGTCTGTAAGGGGTGTGCATAAGTTCACCAGCGTGCCTACCGTCTCTGTCCTAATATTCCTTTTTACTTACTCTTTTCATGTATTCAAATTATGTTTATACTTTTACCTGTTATCTTATATATGCTTGACAAAATAAATTTATGACTTAACTTACTGTGTGGCTAGCATCATCCTTTATCCAGTTCAAGTCTCGTGTACTCAAGACATGCCTAACAAGGGCAAAAAAAATAGATGTCCTTCTGGAGTTTTCCTCTTTTCTATTTGGGTGGAAGTCACAAATCCACTTGCTTTCCCAGTGGCATTATATCAATATATTTATTAATTAATTATATTTCATCTTTATTGTTTTTACAAATAACTCAAGGTAGTGAACACCCTTTCTCCTATTTTTCCCACAACAACAACAACAACAACAACAACAACAACAACAACAACCTTGTTGTGGGTTGCACTGAGAGAGAGTGACTGGCCCAAGATCACCCAGCTGGCTTTCATGGCTAAGGTGGGACTTGAATTCCAGCTTTCTAGCCTGGTGCCTTAACCACTAGACCAAACTGGCTCTATATAAAAATAACAACAGAATGAATACATGGGCATATGAATTGAAGAAAGTTCATTTTCGCTCATGGTGGATGAGTCATAGGCTTATGATAAGCCATCCAGTAATGGATAGAATGTTTGTTGTTTAATTCCAAGAACCCATGTGAATTATTTCTGGCTAATCAAGCTTTGCTGAACACTCTGTCACAGTTCATACAATTTTAATTATGTCTGAACCATGGAAATGAATTTCCTTCCAAATATTTGTGTTCTATATAGACATTTTTGACAGGATTCCTTATAAAAACTCATATGATGAGATTTTTCCTGTAACTTCCCTTTCTTTTTCTCTGTAAGCAAGAAAAGAAAAGAAAAGAAATGTTGACATCACTACCCAACATATATTTAAAGTTTGGGTTTTTTTTCTACATATGTGTATATTGTTTATCCCAAAGATATGTCCTCTTGGCTTATGAAAACAAAGTGGCCTCTTTATCTCTTACTGATGGCTAATTACAGACTATCTTCAAATTCTGTAATTTAGAAAAGTGTTATTATTGTGTTATCTTTCATATATAATCGCTGCTCAGTTATGAGAACTGTTTTGTCCTGAGCTAGCAAATAATTTACAATCCAGTAAGAAATAGAGCTTCTGCAACAGATGTGCTCATGGCACCTGCTATGATAAGTATTTATTTAGCCATCCAACTCTTTTTCTGATATGGTGGAAGGCTCTCTGATGTATTTGGGTGGCAGTTGCTTAGCAAGACCACCAAAGAAGCTTAAAAGTTTGAAGAGAGCTGCGGCTTGTAATTCGTTGAAAGAGACAGCACTGCCTTTCCAACATATGTCCTGTAAATGGAGGCTTAGGCCGCAATCCAATCTCCCTAAAGAAAGAAGTCCTTGCCAAATCCTTTGATTGCTATCCAGCTTTCTTAATTCATATCACCACCTAGCCCATCATTACCATTTCCATAGCTGCTTAGAAAATTGATCAGGTTCAGAAGTTTCCCTTCTTGTTTTGATTAAACAGAAAATGCAGAAGCTGTAGGATGACCAGGTGGATAAGATTCCAAGATCCTCTCGTGTAAATAATTCCCTACATGAAACTGTGGCTCATTTATTACAGTGTGTGCTAATGTCTCAGGCTCTTTGAAGAGCTGTTACATAAATCTTTTAAACAGTGTTATCTTCTCTTGCACACAAACCATAATTTATTCTGAGGACTTCAAAAGGTCATCAGTTATCTCAGTTTCACTCTAGCCTGATGTGGCAATTATTGAAAACAGAGGCCTTTATCCCGCTAAGATTTTTGCTTCACAGTTTTCACCTGAAAATTTATAACCCCTCTCTTTCAAGTGAAAAATTCACATATTTTTATTTTAAAAAAGCTAAGTGACTTTTGTTCCTCACAGTTTAGTATGGTATTAGCTACTTTCCCTTGCCAGAAGCTTCACCTGGGAAATGTGGGATGGGGAGACTAAATCTTAGTGTGATTACACAAAATGTGTTAGTCATTTGAAATGTTCTATATCTGTGAGTGTGTATGTGTAAGTGTATGTGAACAGAAGAAAGTTATTTTTCCATTTTCCTTAATTTCTAAATTTGGTCAATATATTTTAGGACATACAATAAAAACTGTGCTTTTTATGTAAAAGATTATGTAAAACTGTACAATTTGGCAATTGCGCTAGAAAAGAAGTTTAAGGTCACTTATGATCCACTGTCACACATCATCCATGTTTACCCTACCACCTCTAGTTTTCACTATCTCCCATATGACATTTTAATACATAGACATTTTTCTATTTCTCCAAACTTTAATACAAGTATTGAGCAAATAAGCTAGCTATTGAAGATAAAGTAAATTTAACACCCTATCATTTCAACCCAAAAAAAGATTACACAGAAGGTACTTGATTATTTATGTTACTGATTTGGAAGAGGGAGGGAGGGACGGAAGGGGGAGGGGAGAAAGGGAAGGGGAGAGGGAAGGGGAAGGGGAAGGGGAAGAGAAGGGAGGGAGGGAGGGAGGGAGGGAGGGAGGGAGGAAGGAAGGAAGGAAGGAAGGAAGGAAGGAAGGAAGGAAGGAAGGAAGGAAGGAAGGAAAGAGAGGGGGAGAAACGGAAAAAGGGAGAAGAGGGACAAAGGGAGGAAGAAAAGAAGAAAGAGGGAGGGAAGGAAGGATGAGGGAGGAAGGAAGGAAGGAAAGAAGGGGGGAAGTAAGCAAGGTTTCTGATCCTCACTGCCAGCTTCCTACAAGGAAGCCTGATCCAAAAGCAGACAAGAAGTCAGAAGTCATGTTCAAGGTTCCTTGACACCAGAGGTGGTATTCAGCAGGTTTTGACCAGTTCTGGAGAACTGGTAGTAGAAATTTTGAGTAGTTTGGAAACTGGTAAATACCACCTCTGACTAGCCATGCCCCCATCTATTCTCCACCTCCCGAGTCCCAGCTGATCAGGAAGAAATGGAGATTTTGCAGTAACCTTCCCCTGGAGTGGGATGGGAATGGAGATTATCCAGTATTCTTTCCCCTGCCACGCCCACCAAGCCATACCATGCCACGCCCACCAAGCCATGCCCACAGAACTGGTGGGGAAAAAAATTATATCCTACCACTGCTTGACACCTTATCACAAGTGCATTGGGAAGCCTGGGAGTTTGCATGGAAAGAATCTATGAGGATCATGGTACCAAGACTGATGGCAGGAGCCTGAGGGATTTGCAACTTCCTTCTAGGAAAGTTTGCACAAAGAAAGTAAATGGGGAATCTTGCAGGATAGGTCGCAACTTGCTCATGTAAGTCTTCCCATCTTGCAAACTCTTTGCCAGTCCCTTTGCAGCCATGCCGCACAGATCAGCCTCAATTCAGTGAGTCATGAGCTGTCTAGTATGGTATACAGGAAGCTGACAGGTAAACTGATTTTTCAAACAGGAGCTGTGTTAGACAGTCCTACTTTCCAACTTTTCAGTGATCTGCTAAGCATTGAGGCACCTAGACATATTGCATCTGTTTATGCTTATAGTTTGAGTTTCCTTTTTATATGCAAAGGGTAAATGTTCTGTAAAAACATTTCAAGTGTTTTACGTGCAAAGTCTGAAATCCATCTCAGAGGAAGTTGAATGAATATACAGCTTGAGGGGAAAGAAAAATTAAAAAATAAAGCATAAAACGCAAATAAAGCATCTTCACACAAAGAGGGATTTGCCAAGTGAGATTGAAAAAAAGAAATCAGTAATGGTTGAACCTTCTTTTTTTTTTATCATTCCCATTTAACAAATAACACCTCCTGCGTTTAAATATTTAATGTGAAATCATGGATTTATATAGTTTACAAAATGCCACTGGGTTATTATCTTTACAGTTTGCATGACAGGAATATTCATATTCACCAACAAAGACAACAGGAATTCCTCCAGGTGCTAATAGTAGATAGCTTGGCTTGCTGCTTCACTAATCTACTAATTACAGAATCCCTCAGGTAGAACAATGTCATTAATCTGATTAAATTATTTATAGGGAAGGAAAGCTAAATCTTATTAGGCCTTCAGAATTTTGGATGTCATACAACTGTATGAATGACATTTTGGCATGGTTGAGGAACACAAATGATTGTCATAATAACTGTCGAAGAAGTTAGATACTCATTTTAGGATTTGGACCTAAAACCTCTTTAGGCTTCTTATAATCAATGATATACCAGCATGTAATTTGTAAATCGTCTTTTAAAATCCTGAAACTGTAGCATTGTTGAGATTAAGTATCAATGCCTGGATAAGAGACCACTAGGAGCATGTAAATATTTCACCTGAACAAGACATTGTTGCTTTCCCATGACTTAATGACTTCCCCATAACTTAAGCATTTCAACAACTAAAGTAATACATTGAAGGCAGCGGTGAAATCCAGCAGGTTCTAATAGGTTCTGGAGAACCGGTAGCGGAAATTTTGAACAGTTCGGAGAACCGGAAATTTTGAGTAGTTCGGAGAACTGGCAAATACCACCTCTGGCTGGCCCCAGAGTGGGTGGGAATCCGGATTTTGCAATATCGTTCCCCTGGAGTTGGGTGGGAATGGAGATTTTGCAGTATCCTTCCCTGCCATGCCCACCAAGCCATGCCCACCACGTCACACCACACCCATCACACCACACCATGCCCACCAAGCCACATCCACAGAACCGGTAGTAAAAAAAATTGGATTTCACCACTGTTTGAAGGTAAAGGTTTCTCCTGTAAAGGTAAAGGTAAAGGTTGTCTTGTTTCCTAGCAAAGGCAACCAATGTTGTTCAAAGATGCTTTCATGGTCATGTGGTTGGCATGACTCTACACCAAGGTACAGAGAACACTGTTATCTTCCCACTGAAGTGATACCTATTTATCTACTTGCATTTGCATGTTTCTGTATTGCTAGGTTGGCAGGAGCTGGGGCAGGAATGGGAACTCACCCTGTCACACAGTATCTGGGTCACGAACTGCCCACTTTCTGGTTAACAAACCCAGCATTTACTACAAGCAGATTATATGGGAAGACACTGGCCTCTCATTGAAAAATTGCCCAGGTATGGATATATTCCTTGTATTCACTGATAGATGAGAAAGAAACCAAGCTAGTAACCATCAGATAACATTTATATAGATTGGAAGCTATCTAAAGGGGTGGGGGGGATAAACAGATGTTCCATTTCAGTGAAAAGCAATTATAATCATTGAGTAGGAGAAGACAATGAGTCAAATGGCAGGAAGCACGAATCAAGAATTTTCTGGGCAATCAATTTTCTAAAGGGAAGGCAGTATAATGTTGGTAAACAGTTCAACTACATTTACTAATTGTTTTTTCACCAACCATTTCATAGAGAACCAAAATGAAGGCTCAGAGGTCTGAAGCATTTTTCAACCATGAAGTTGGACTCTCATCCTGAAGCTTTTAATTTTTGGAGTCCTCTTGCATGGCCTGATAAAACAGAGGTTCTTTTTCTTGTAGCATTGCTTCCGAATAGAATGCACACCAAAGTAAAATCCAACTCTCAGCCCTCAGTAATGCCCTGAGGTTTTAGAAGTGCTTTCTATGAGAAGTGTCTTGCACGTAGTCCTGCTACAATTGCCTAATGCCATATATGTAAGAAAATGAATAGGTTTGTAGCTATTTGTTTTAGTTAAGAAGTTGCAAAATAGCAAGATCCTGGTATCAGACACTTGGTTTGCATCATGACATCAAAACACATGTTTCGGCATTGGTCCCCTATTCCAAAGATTCCTCCAGCAGATACTAAACTGTACTCCTTCAACCCATTTATATGCCTCAATAATTCTGCCAAATCAGGAAATGCCTATGTAGTTACTGTATGGTGTGCTTCAAGGCTGATACAAAGCTGATCAACTCTGATTTCAGAATCTGTCTACAGACGTTTTCAGGGCCAACCTTGTTTCAAATACTATGCAATTCCTCTGAAGACTATGGTGGCAAGTTTTACACAGCATACTATATTAGATACAGATGTGGAAAAGATGAACCTAAAATATATGTGTGCAGTATATGTGTATAGAACACACACACACAACTATACATCAAATAACAAACATCTGAGCCAAAAAGCGCAAAGGAATTTATTTCCCATCAAGCCTCACCCAGAAATTGTCAGCTTCCCCATGCAGACCAGACAGGAAATACAATCAGATGAGTTAATTCTACTTTATTGCAAGACTACCTTAACAAAATGTTGCAAGTCTAAATGTAGAGATCTCCCACCCCCTCTCTTTTTATAGCCTGATAAATTAGGGAAGATCCTTTCTGAGTTTACTTCTTTGCCTGTAATGCAGCTGTGGGTTCCCCCCCCCACCTTCTCTAATCATTCCCTAGGCAGCATTTATTTCCCCTTAGCTCCCTCTCCCAAGATCATTCGCACAGACCAGAAATTTATTACGTGCCATTAGAGTCATGGTCCATTCTTAGCAACTGTATATGTAGGATTATGCCATTTTGTTTTCCAACAGTGCACCCCATTGTTGTTGTAATCTTTGTTTACCTAGCTACCAGTCATCCTTTTCTTTCCTTCCATCTTTCCCAGCATCCTAGACTTCTCGAGAGAACTAGATCTTTCTATAATTATCATATTCAATATATGATCATTTGAGCCTGGTCAATTATGTGTCAAGTAAAAACACCGGATTGATTTGTTCTATAATTCATCAGATTGCTGACTTGACTGTCAATGATATACTCAGGAATCTCCTCTAACACCAAAGTTCAACAATGTCACTGCTTTTTTTATCTTGCTTCTTTAGAGTCCAGCGTTGGCCTCCACAGAGGGAAAGCCATTACCTGCACAATGTTGACCTTTGCAGGTCCAGAACTCTAATGACATATGAATATCTTTTGGCTTCCAAGTGTTAGTTTGTAGTAGTCAACATCTTGTCTGTTGAATATTTTACTTTGGGTAGTCCATGCTAAAAGGCAAAAGCTGTTCAGCTCTTCAGTATCTTCATTGTCAGTGCTAACCCTGGATCTGTTATCATTTGTTTATATTTAATCTTAGTCCCTTTTTTCCCATGGTGATCCTCAACTTTCAGGAGTAGATTGTTGAGTTTACAGATCATTTGCATTTTCAGCTATCACAATATCATCACTGGCACAATACAGATTCTTTTTGTTTCTTTCTCCACCCATCTTCTTGTGAGCCAGCTTCCCTCTGTATATAGGTAGTGCTCAACTTACAGCAGTTCATTTAGTGACTGTTCAAAGTTATATCGGCACTGAAAAAAGTGACTTCTGGCTGTTTTTCACCCTTACGACCGTTGTAGCATCCCCATGGTTGTGTGATTAAAATTCAGATCTTGGGAACTAGTTCATATTTATGATGATTGCTGTATCCCAGAGTCATGAGATGCCTGTTTGCAACCTTCTGACAAGCAAAGTCATTGGGAAACTCAGATTCACTAACAACTGGGTCAATAACTCAACAACTGCAGTGACTCACTTAACAATTGTGGCAAGAAAAGTTATAAAATGGGGCAAACCTCATTTAATAAATGTGTCACTTAGCAACATACATTTTGGGCTCGATTGTGGTCTTAAGTCAAGGACTACCTGTATATTGATCGTATAGGTTGAATAAATAAGAGAACAGTATGTAGCCTGGTCTCACTCCTTTGCTCATCTGGAGCCAGTGTGTTTCGCCATATTATGTCCATATTGTGTATAAGTTCACATAAGAACAATGAGATGCTTTGGGATTCCTACTTTTTTAAAAGACATTCCATATCTTGACATGATAAACACAAGCAAAGGACTTTCTATAATCTAAACATTATTTTGCTACCATATGAAATTAAAGATATTGTATGTATCTTGTTAAGTTTATTTTCTTTGGCATTAGTATCTAAACTAATGTTTTCCAATCTATTGGTCACTGTGTCATTCTCCTTTACTATTTTCTTCCGTTCTTTGCCATATCTGTAGATGTTCTATCACTTTCTGACCTTTCCAAATTGTTGATGACTGATTTAATTTTGTCTTTTATACTAGAAGTGCTTGTAAATAGGGAATATCTTCTAAAGAATCTTTAACATTAACATGACTTTTTTCAGCCCTCTGAGTAGTCCCTATGGACATAGCCACACCCACCAGGTCACATGACCAGCTAGCCACGCCCACACAGTCACATGACCACCAAGTCACACACCCCCAATTAAGCCATGCCCACAGAACTGGTTGTTAAAAAAATTGAATCCCACCACGAATGGAATGGAATGGAATGGAATGGAATGGAATGGAATGGAATGGAAAGGAAAGGAATGGAATAGAATGGAGCAAAGTTTCTCTTTGTCACCCCCATTTGCTCTTGTAGGAGCCGTCTCTTTCCTGACAGAGAGATGGGAGGGAGAGAGTGAATGGAATGGGATTCAGCAATGTTTGTCTTCCCCACCCCCATTTGCTCTTCTAGCAAAGGAGAGAGGGAGGGAGAGGGAGAGGGAGAGATGGATGAATGTCGATTGTAACCTCCTTGGAGCTGAGAAGAATTGCTGCAAAACTGAGTTTTCTGAAGTGGAGCACTAGACTCGTAAACAACTTAAAAAATGATCTAGTAAAAAGAAAAGTCAAACAAAAGCAAATAAAACACTCCCAGGAGGAAAACAAATTAAAGTTTCATTTGTGTGTATTATTTAATGGACTGCTAAATTGGCAAAATGGACTGCTAAATTGGCTGCGCCTACCCAGCCACACCTACCCAGTCACATGACCATCTAACTACACCCACCCAGTCGCATGGGGGGCAGCCACACCCACCTAGCCAGTCCGGCCCCCCAACAGTCTGAGGGACCCTGAAGTGGCCCCCTGTTCAAAAAGTTTGAAGACCCCTGGTCTAGGACAACATGCTGCAGCCAACTTACCACAGCCAACTTGCCATGGCCAACTCACCACGGCCAACTCACCATGGAGCAACTTGTCGCGAAGAACTCGCTGAGTGACAAGAGTTACACTAACACCAAAGAAAAGGTGAAATAGAATAATTAAAGAAAGAATGCAAAAAGGGGGACAACATGAAATGTGAATGACAAAAATTAAAATATTTTTAAAATTATTTTAAATAATTAAATTGAATTGTCGAATTGTCCCATATGGTGAGTTGGCTCATGGCAAGTTGGCTGTGGTGAGTTATCCCACAGCAAATTGGCCATGGTGAATTGGCTGCAGCAAGTTGGTCAACGTGAGCTGGCCACAATAAGTTGACCATAGTGAGTTATCCCATTCTGCTCCTAACATACTTCTTTTTTCAAAAAGAATTGGCTTTGGAGCTGTTAAGAGAGCATGAAAAGGTTTTTTGAGGTCAGAACCTTTATTTTTAAATCATCTTCATTAAAATTAATTTGGCTCCTACAGCCACAGAAGAAGCAGTTTTGTTCTATGGTTTGTTTTTGTTTTTGTTTTACAAAAGCATTCACTTTGGAAAGTTTTAATATCTATGGGAATCTCAAATGTGATGCACACAAAATCAGACATATATAATGAATGCAATATATAAAATGTGTGTGTGTGTGTGTGCCCACACATGCATTCTGGGTGCTTCATTATTTCTAAATCAATTACTTTATCATCTGTGTGCATATATTATTTGGATTTACTATCTGCATTATTTTCTGAAATACTAATCAGCCCAGGAAAACACAAATCTCTGAGGAGAAATAATTTTCTTTCATGATAAAATTCTCGGATGATGTGTTGTTAGCAATACAGTGCATCCAAAATGAACAAGCTAAAAATAACTTTCTTTCCTAACAATGTTCTTCAAAGTCCACAATCAGAATGACTCCAGTTGGTATTCTGACCTCATTTTTGCTACTGTTTGAATTGGCTGACCCAAGTCTAACATGCATTAATAAAACACAGCAAATTGGGAGGTGGGGGGAAGCATAGCTATCTTTAGTCAGCTATTCTTCCTCTCTTATGTTAAGCTTTCACAACAGCTACGAAGTTAAGCAAATGTATTATTAAATGTGAACATATTGCTCTTTAATAATAATTATCAAACACTTTTTACAGAACAAAAAATAAGAAAAGAATCCTGAATCAAACTGGGTCACTCTTTTGAGGATAGCAAAGTTCATTGGTTTGAAATAGGGGTAAAAGAGGTCATGTATCAGTGGTGGGTTCCTCCAGTTTGGCCTGGTTCCCCTGAGCCAGTAGCAGTGACGATATGACATTACCGAACCAGTTCTGCCCCCCCTCCCCCCACCCACCCACCCACCCCGCGTTATTCTTACCTTTTATTTGGCCCCATCCCCAATCTATTGCTGCCTCCTGAGTCCCAGCTGAAGCCTAGAGGAAAAAAAACTGTTTAAACTCTTGCCACAGGGATTCAAAGGCCCTCCCTACAGCTGATCAGTGTTAAAAAAAAACAAATGAGTAGACTGGTGCCTGCAAAAATACATGAGT